CATTATATTTTCACAAAGTAAAATGGTATCATTTTAATGATGCATTTGCACTAAACCTTGTCATTTGTTGCTGCAAGGAGATATTCATTATCATTCAAATTATTATTTACTTCTAGGTAATTTGTCTTTTAATCCTGGCTGTTTTTAAATTTTTCTTTTTCTTTAAAAATTTGAAATCCTATGTCAATAAATCTAAAGTTTTTGTTTTGGATTGAAGTTATCCATCTCATAACACAGTGAACTCTTTGAACCTAAAGACTCATTGGCTTTTGTTTTGTTTTGTTTTTTACATTTTGGAAAATCTCTATTATTTCTTTCAATAGACCGTCTTCCTAAATTTTCATATTGTTTTTCTATCACTCTTCAGAGACATACAGTAAATTTTCTCAGTCTAGTGTTTAAATAACTGAACTGACATAAATTCTGCAAGTTTTGAGAATGTTGTTTTTAGTTAAACATGTGGAGACAATTACCATTTAATAATATACTGGTCAAGGAGATTAATCTTATTCTCTTTCGTATATACTCAGTCTCTTTTTTATATTTTCTCTCATTTCATCTGAGTTCTGTTTTATTTCCTCAAATATATTACACAATTTACTCATTTTCTCTAAGTTTCTATCTATTTTTTTGTTGGATCCATCCATTCGGTTCTTCATTTCAATGAGTATGTTGTATTTCATTTATTCTCAGATGCATATTTTAATATTTTATTATCTCTGAATTTGAGACATACTGGCTACCTGATGGCATGCTAAAATTATCACCAGGTGTGTGTTATTATTAACTAGTAATTGTCTCCACATATATAACTAAAAACAACATTCTCAAAACTTGCAGGATGTATGTTAGTTCACTTATTTTTTAAAAATCTCATGTAGATATTGAATTTAAAAAAGAAAATGTATTGCTGGTAGTTAATGCCAAATTCACTGGTCATCTAGTCTACCTGCCTGTTATCTAAATCATCGCTCTCAAGTTCAAAGTCCCATCTACCTACCTCTCTGAGTCACATCTAATACCTTCAAGTGGTAATTTGAAAAACCAAACGAATAATATTTTGCTTGTCTTAAAATGCTAATTTTTCTAATTAACGCTAACAAAAAATAATGGCATAATTTTCCACCAATTATCACTTAGTTAAGTTTAATAAAATTAAACATATATTTGAGAGACCACTATGTACATGAAAATAGCTGAAGATATAGCTTTTGATTCAAATAGACATGTTTACAAAATTAGGTTCTCCCATTAATGCCTGTACAATAAGAAAAAAAGTCACTAAATCACTCTAAGGCACCTAATGTTAACTTACTATCAAGTCTCCAGTCTTCCCATCTTCCTTAGTGATGCAAACCCAACTTGGAGTTTAGCACCAAGATTAAAGTCTATATTACTAGCTTAGATTTTTGTATCATGGGCTGTGTGGCTAGATTATGCCCTATATGATTTACTGAGGAAAGTTGTGTGGAAATTATAGGAAAGTTTCTTGGAAAAATGGGGCAAAATCCTTTTATCTTTCTCACTTTTCCTGCTACTTACAGTATGAATGTAATACCTGGAACTCTACCAGCCATCTTTGACCATGTGTTAATGGGCTGCATAAGGCAGAGCAGAACGATAGAATTCTGAGTCCCTGATGAAACTTTGGAGCCACACTGGCACTTCTGGTCCTCTTATATTTAGGAAATATATCTGTAAACTTAAGGCATTGATATTATTTTAAAAATATTTTTCTATGCTGATGAACTAGCTTGCATCTGCTCATCTATAATGTTTAAACAATTACAGTAATGCTATGGTTTGGCTGTGTCCCCTCCCAAATCTCATCTTGAATTATAGTTCCCATAATCCCCACCTATTGTGGGAAGGACCTGGTGGGAGGCAACTGAATCATGGGGGCGGTTTTATCCATGCTATTCTCATGATAGTAAGTGAGTTCTCATTAGATCTGATGGTTTTATAACGGGTTTTTCCCTCCCCTTTACTCTGCCCTTCTCCTTGCTGCCACCGTGTGAAGAAGGTTGTGTTTGCTTCCCCTTCTACCATAACTCTCAGTTTACTGAGGTCTCTCTGACCCTGAGGAACTTGATTTGATTAAACCTCTTCCCTTCATAAATTATCCAGTCTTGGTTATTTATTCATAGTAGCATAAGAATGCACTAATACAGTAAATTGGTACTGCAGAGAATGGGGTGTTGCTGCAAAGATGCCTGAAAATGCAGAAGCAACCGTGGAGCTGGGTAACAGGCAGAGGTTGGAACAGTTTGGAAGGCTTGGAAGAACATAGGGAAATATGGGAAAGTTTGGAACTTTCTAGAGTCTTGGAGGGCTCAGATGGCAGGAAGATATGAGAAGGTTTGGAACTTCTTAAAGACTTGATGAATAGCTTTGACCAAAATGCTGATAGTGTTATGAACAATGAAGTGTATGGTGAAGTGGTGTCAGATGGAGATGGAGAACTTGTTGGGAACTGGAGTAAAGGTCACTTTTGCTACGCAAAGAGACTGGTGGCATTTTGCCCCTGCCCCAGACTTAGAACTTGAGAGAGATGATTTAGGGTATCTGATGGAAGAAATTTCTGTTTTTGTCACCCAGGCTTGAGTGCAGTGGTGCGATCTTGGCTCACTGCAAGCTTCACCTCCCGGGTTCATGCCATTCTCCTGCCTCAGCTTCCCAAGTAGCTGGGACTACAGTCACCCACCATGCCCAGCTAATTTTTTTGTATTTTTAATAGAGACAGGATTTCACCATGTTAGCCAGGATATTCTCCATCTCCTGACCTCATGATCTGCCCACCTCAGCCTCCCAAAGTGCTGGGATTACAGGCATGATCCACCATGCCTGGCCAATGGAAGAAATTTCTAAGTGGCAAGGCATTCAAGAGGAAGCAGAACATAAAAGTTTGGAATATTTGCAGCCTGGCCATGTGATAGAAAAAACAAACAAACAAACAAACAAACACAACTACATTCTGGGAGAAATTCAAGCTGGTTGCAGAAATTTGCATGAGCAACAAGGAACCGAATGTTAATCACCAAGACAATGGGGAAAATGACTCCAGGGCACATCAGAGAACTTCACAGCAACCCCACTCAGCATAGGCCCAGTGGGCTAAGAGGAAAAAATGGTTTCCTGGGCCAGGTCCAGGGCCCCCACTACTGTGTCCAGCCTAGGACTTGCTGCCTTGTGTCCCAGCTGCTCTAGTCATGATTAAAAGGGGCCAATGTATAGTTCAGGCCATTAGTTCAGAGGGTGCAAGCCGCAAGACTTGGCAGCTTCCATGTGGTGTTAAGTTTGTAGGTATACAGAAGTCAAGAATTGAGGTTTGGAAACCTCTGCCTTGGTTTCAGAGGATGTATGGAAGTGCCTGGGTGTCCAGACAGGAGTTTGCTGCAGGTGAAGAGTCCTTATTGAGAATCTCTGCTAGGGCAGTGTGGAAGGGAAATGAGGAGTTTGAAGCCCTACACAGAGGCCCCACTGTGGTGCTTCCTGGTGGAGCTGTGAGAAGAGGGCCACTGTTCTTCAGACCCCAGTATGGTAGATCCACTGACAGCTTGCATCATGCACCTGGAAAAGCCACAGGCACTCAATGCCAGCCCAAGAAGGCAGTCAGGAGGGAGGCTGTACCCTGCAAAGCCACAGGGCTGGAGCTACCCAAGACTATGGTGACCTGGATGGGAGACATAGAGTCAAAGGAGATCATTTTGGAGCTTTAAGGTTTAATGACTGCCCTATTGGATCTCATAGTTGCAAGGGGCCTGTAGCCCCTTTGTTTTGGCCAATTTCTTCAATTTAGAATGGCTGTATTTACCCAATACCTATACCCCCATTGCATCTAGGAATTAATTAACTTGCTTTTTATTTACAGGCTCATAGGTGGAAGGGACTTACATTGTCTCAGATGAAACTTTGGACTTGGACTTTTGGGTTAATGCTAGAATGAGTTAAGACTTTGAGGGACTGTTCAAAGGGCATGATTGTATTTTGAAATATGAGGAAATGAGATTTGGGTGGGGCCAGGGGTGGAATAATATTATTTTGCTTTGTCCTCACTCAAATCTCATCTTCAATTATAGTTCCGAAAATCTCCACCTATTGTAGGAGGGACCTGGTGGGAGGTAATTGAATCATGGGGTGGTTACTTCCATGCTGCTCTCATGATAGTGAGTGAGTTCTCACAAGATCTGATGGTTTTATAAGGGCTTCCCCACCTCTTCACTCTATCCTTCTCCTTGCTGTCACCATGTGAAGAAGGATGTGTTTGCTTCTCCTTCCACCATGATTGTAAGTTTCCTGAGGCCTCCTCAGCCTTGCATAACTGTGAGTCAATTAAACCTCCTTCCTTTATAAATTACCTAGCCTCAGATATTTCTTCATAGCAGTGTGAGAACAGACTAATACAGTGACTGTTCTTTAGGTTTTTTGTTATAAACAATAAATTAGGAATGTATGAAATTGTGTAGCCCAGTGCCTGGCACACAGATATTGTTTTAAAAATGTTAGCCAATTGTCTACATTATAAAAAAGTCATTAATGTGATGTCTTCCTTTGAAAATATCACATATCATAAAGCCCATTTTTCCCCTTTCTATCTTCCACAACATGACACGTAGTCAATAACAATGTGATTTGAAAATAATCAGAATATACAAAATTATGTAAAAATATATCAAAATTCAAACAAGCTAAAGAATATGTGGAATTCCTTTGAAGCCTTGTGATTAAACATATTCATTTTTTATTTTTTTATTTTTTTATTATTTATTTATTATTATTTTTTTTTGAGACGGAGTCTCCCTCTGTCTCTCAGGCTGGAGTGCAGTGGCGCCATCTCCACTCACTGCAAGCTCCGCCTCCCGGGTTCATGCCATTCTCCTGCCTCAGCCTCCCGTGTGGCTGGGACTACAGGCGCCCGCCACCGTGCCCAGCTAATTTTCGTATTTTTAGTAGAGACGGGGTTTCACCATGTTAGTCAGGATGGTCTCGATCTCCTGACCTCATGATCCGCCCATCTCGGCCTCCCAAAGTGCTGGGATATATATTCATTTTTTAAAAGAAAATTATTTCTTGTATATGATGCATATGTTATGAATGGTTACAATACAAATCAATCATTCCATATATAAATACAGCCCACCAAAATTTACCTATTCTTGTAAAAGTGTATCCCTACAAAACAAAATTTGATTTTTGAAGTGTGTGTATTAAGATTTAGGTAAATATATATCTCTACATATTTGAAGTTTTAGAGTAAAATATGGTCCTTTAATGCCTTCTTATAAAACTGTTACATTTTCGTTATGTTGTAACCACAAATTTTCTACAAAATATCCCTGGAAGATCAAACCTGTCTTTAGATTGAGTGAAAAATGTACAAAAGTGGGGGATTTTCCTTTGGCCTACTTGAAGGTAATAATTAAAGTTTTGTATCTCTGCCCATTGTTCTGGGGTTACATGGATTCAAGCTTATTGACAGCCCAACCCTGGTATTACATTTTCTACGAGACAATATATTCTATCTGGTCAACAGGAGATAATCTGAATATCAAACGTGAGTTGCATTTTTGCGGTTGACTAACTTCCATATGTATTGGAAGGCAGGGTAACGATAGTGGAGCATTTAGGCATCTTTACTTCTAATTCATGTAACAGGTAAAGTTGGCTCCTGAATCACTATGAATGTCAATGGGTGCCAAATCATAGAAGTTTCTGCAGCAAGCATCTTAATAGTCCCAATTTTGTAATATGCGGAGTATGCATACTTTGTTATGACGGTTGTTTTCTTACAGACCTTGCATATGTAAGGTGCAATTCTGCAATTCCTCTTAGAAGCACTAGTCTTCATTTTATTGAAAAGCAGAACAAGTAGTGGCATAAAACCTGTATAATTCACAGACTTTTAAGTTAAGGCCTCAGGCAAACCATTCTTTCTTTTGTTTTGTCCCCCATACTTGCAGGGCAATCTCAATGTTAACTTGCTCTACACTGAGAGGATGTATTATATGCTGACCTCCCCAAATAATAACTATCAAATGTGCTTTATATCTTCTCTACCTTACGATTGATTCTTAACCTAGTTTCTCTTTATTATATTATTAAGTGAATATTATATAAACATTAAGATGGGTGATTTTGTCCCTAAAAGATGCATCTTTTTAAAACCAAAATAAGACTGAAAATAATGTTTTACTCACTTGGAAAGTGAAAGTGAAAGTGTTAATGATCCTGTGCTGGAATGGCACTTACCTTAATACTGATGTAGAGGCGGATACCATATTTATCTTAAACTACCCCAGAGCAAAGAACCTGTGAAGAAGACAGTTACCTTCGGAACCATATTTATCATGTAAATAGCTCAGAAAAGGATACTGCCAGTTACATCTTTAAAATACAAAAATGCATGCATTTCACTATTTTGTAAATGCCAGAGAGATGCAGCATCCGTTAGAGTTAACGGTGCGGCACTTTTGTGTTCAGTAGCATGAATCATTAATCATGAGACAGGCCATATTCTTGTACTGCTTCTGCTTTCATTACTTGGCCTAATTAAACAGTTCTCTGAACTGGAATCTCAGATTCCTCTGTTACAGATTATCATTAATTATGGTGAAAGTGCTCAGAGATGTTGGACTCAATTATATTCTACTCAACTCTGGCACCGTGTGATTCATTGCGCAGCCTGCTCTGCAGATGTACTCTTTTCTTATCTCGCACTCCCACTTTTGTAAATTGGGCTCTGGCAGCCAACAAACTAAGAGTTATGTGCTGCGTTTTCATTAAAAACATGTTGGAGAAGCACAGACCAATTAAGGATTCTGTATTTTATAAGGAGTGATGAGATGAACAGTGGATTCTGGGAGAATTAGCTCTGTGAAGAAGCAATCTCAATCTTATTGTATTGCTAAATTTGGTGCTAGGTTTTTTTTTGTTTGTTTGGTTGGTTGGTTGGTTGGTTTTTTTTTGTTGTTTGTTTGTTTGTTTTTCAATTGATTAAGTCTCTGTCTTGGAACTTTTAAAAAATTAAAATAATGTATTGCAAACTTAATAGAAAGAAACTCAAAATTGTGTTTGGTGCTTGTGTGAGCTACTGGAAAACATTTCCAGTGACATATGCCAAACACATTATAGCTCAAAAGACACTAATTTCTTCAACTTTGACAGTCATTTTTATGCTATGTAATACAATCTCTTCTATAGCACTAAGTTTAAGCAGACTGGACTACTATTTTGGCATAGACAAAGCCAGAATATCAGGATTTGCAGGCTTTGGGTACTGTTTGGGATGTGTGTTTGGGGGAAGGGGAGTGTATGATTTGACATATGGCACATGCGAATCAAATTATCCCAAAGTACTTCTATTGCATTTAAAATTTGTTTATTTGTTTAAGGATTCTATTTTTTTTCTTCTTTTATTCTCCTTCCCTCCCTTGTTCTGTCTCTCCCTACCTCTCTCCTTCCCTCACTCCCTTCTTTCCTTCTTTTTTGTCTTTCTCTTTCAGGGGAGTCAAAAGATTTTTCTTTTGTTCAAATAATACAGAAACTGTATTTTAGTAATTAAAATGTAACAAAGTTTATGATAAAATAATGTCTTCAGTTTCCTCACTGACCACAAAACCATACCAAAAAACTTAAATGCTTAAAATCAATAGTATTTTAGCATTTCATTGAAAGAAAATATGTTTATCTAATTTAAATGTGAAAAACACAAAAATGAAATTTTATTTGCAGATTATACTTAAGAAGTTGCATGGCCTTTGATGCTTTATGGATCATAATTCAGAGATTTTACAGACACTAAACTGCAGTGATAAACATGCAAATATATTTGGGAAGTGTTTAAGAAGGCTATTCAGTTTTCTCTTCCTTATGTATCATAAATTCTAAATTATAGTAGAAATACTTGGCATTTAAAACAGCTGGTCTGAAAGTGAAATCAACTGTCATTCAATTTACCTCTGATGTCATTTTAAAAAATAAATTGTCAGGGTTTTACCTGAAAACGTTTATTTAATAAAAGATAAGTGTTAAAATAATTTTATAATATGAGAAGTTTGTGTTATTATTGATAAGATGATATAATTATATCATTCAATGACAATTTTTTTTAAATCTCAGGGCAGAAGAAAGTGACATCTATAAAGTTACATCTATAGTGACAGAAGAAAGCTTTAAGAGCTGTTCTTATAACTGATCATTTATTTAAATGAAGCAAATAGATTAAAGCCAGTATTTTCTAACTGATAAATTTGTTATTCTTATGTGATAAAAATACTATTTATTCAAAACAAATATGAGGTTAATGGTTTCCTCTTTTTTTATTTCCTCTTTCCACTTTAAAGATATGGTACCAAATCAAATAGACAAAACTGCTATGCTTGTCTCCCTTTGTTTCTCATGTGAGAAATTAACAAAATAGCACACAAGTAACTCTTATCACAAAGCTATTCTCAGAGGTGAAATATGAACAGCATTGCCTTGGTTCAAGCCAACTCAACTAGTCACATGTGTCATCATTATTACTTGCTCTCTATTTTCACAAGTAAAACTTCTGTTTATTTTGTATTAAAAATTGTCTTGATCCTCATCTGAAACTCATTTTCCTACATCATGAGATATGTACTGGATATATTCATCCACAAGATCAGACCCAAAAATAAGGGAAGGGGGCATCTCTTCTCTTATTTTTATGTTATCTAAAAGTTTCTGTTTTGATTTTCCCTAAATGAAGTTTAATTTTTGTATATTTTCATTGACTATGTGTCCATTTTTCCTAAATGCAGGTCAGGAAGAGAACAGAAGTAAAACGATGTGGAGGAAAAAAGTTCTAGATGTAAGCCTTTTGGCTTAACAGTGTGTAGGTTTTCATATCCTGCAGTAGTTTCAGGTTTTAATATATATGAAAATCAGTGGTCTTGTATCTATGCATATGTGTCGTCTATAATATAATTTTGACAGATGGTGAGCTGGATAAATCTAGTCCCTGACTATAGAAAACCTTGGCTTGACTTGCACTCTACCAAAACTTGTTTTAAAAAGCATTCACATGTATTTATTTTTTAAATAAAGATTCATTTTTTGGCCTGCCCTTATTTCTCATTGAGATGCCGGCATCCTCATCTTTGACAGTCCCATATACGCATTTTACCTGAGTTGTGATTTTTTTTTTACAGGATTATTCCATGCATAATGCTGATGACTATACTATTTTACATCTCCTCCTTATTAAAAATAAATATGTTACCTTGCCCCTGTTTGCACCCTCTAAAATTCTGACAACAATATCTTACTTAAAAACAAATACAAACCTAGAAACCAGGAAGCGGTTTCTCCCAGTAGCAGCTCCAGACAGACTGCTCATTGAAAATGTAATACACTGCTGCCGTGTCACAGGTCAGCTGGCAAATGGCAATCTGAATTTTAAAAGGAATATGAATAAAATTCTGTTTTATTTTGAAAATGAACTTTCTGCCCTCCATCATGAATCCAATATATGTCTTAATCTTCTATGCTCTTGAAGCCTGCGGCTCCTGGCTGAGTCCTTTGACTCCTGAACCTAATAAGGAAATAGGTTGTTTTCTCATCCTCGTCTCATTTTTAGAAGGGCTGAAACAAACAGTCCCCTATTTCAAATGTAATTGACAAAGCATAAAAACATGTATGTTATATAATTTTAGGTTTACAACCAAGCTCAGCACCGGGATGTTTTATTTTTAAATTTGATTAAGATGTTATACCTTTGGAAATGTGCTGTCAAGGTTTGAAATCAAAATTTCCAAGTATACGATGCATGTTTACCTTAGAACTGTACATGTGAAGCTGATAAAGGATAGAATGGATAATGGTACACTTCAGTTGGGAACATTTTCATTTAACCTGGACATTATTTAGAGCCATACAGAGAGATGTATAGACAGAATTTAAAAATGTATGTTTGTGGCCATTGTTGCTGTTTAAAAATCAACTGGGTGTGTGCCATGTCTGTAACTATGTTTGCTTTTTTCTCCTAAATAGAAGTTAGTTCATTATGCTATATTTATAAACTTACTGTTTACACATTCATTTAAATTAGTGACTTCTAATTAGAAAATGCTTTTCTTTCCAGAAAAATAAGGTTTCAATTTTTGAGTGTTTGTCCTTTTTTATTTGAAAATTCTAGGAATAATATATTGTCATGGCATAATTATTATTGTTCTTTTTTAAATAAAGTAATTGTAGAAACTACTCTTTAAGAAGAGAAATGGTAGAATTTAAAGCACTTAAAATAAATACAATTAGGCGTCCTATGCTGTTAGTACATCTTATAATTATATTTGTGTAGCATTATCACAACCTAACTGATCATTCTAAGGACATAAAGGCTGACATTTCATTGTGTATGTGCATCTTGTGTGTGAAACTGAGAGAGAGGTGCACATGAAAAGTTAAGCAATTAGTTATTTTAACACTTGGATTTGGTTTTTTTTTTTTTTTTTTTTTTTGAGACGGAGTCTCGCTCTGTCGCCCAGGCTGGAGTGCAGTGGCGCAATCTCGGCTCACTGCAAGCTCCGCCTCCTGGGTTTACGCCATTCTCCTGCCTCAGCCTCCTGAGTAGCTGGGACTACGCCCGCCACCGCGCCCGGCTAATTCTTTGTATTTTTAGTAGAGACGGGGTTTCACCGTGGTCTCGATCTCCTGACCTTGTGATCCGCCCGCCTCTGCCTCCCAAAGTGCTGGGATTACAGGCGTGAGCCACCGCGCCCGGCTGGATTTGGTTTTAACCTAAAACTAGTCCATTATTGTTTTTCAGAAGATAGTTATATTTTAAATGTCTTTTTTTATTGTATGGCCATTCTAAGCTTAGAGCAATTAGCATATTTACAATGATACTTTAATTATTAAATGTTAGATACATGGAAAATTTTTAAAAACTTTAATTTCCGTAGCTATATCTAGTCCCTATTCCCTTTCCTGATATTCCAATAATACATAGGCTCATAGAAATCATGAACTGATATATACTTGATAGAGTCATTCATGATTCAACAAATAATTATTGAATATCTAAATAATGAATTAATAACTAAGTATATTAAGATAAATAGAACATGGTGTAGCAACAATAAGATGGTCTTTTAGTTAATCAGACAAATAATATAAGAGTTCTATCAGTGAGACAAGTGAAATGATAATGGTAGCAAAAGGTGAGTTAAAAGCACATAGGAAGACAGTTAACCCGGTGTGGGGAAGAGGAGCCCAGGGAAAACATTGAGGGAAAAGTCATGCTTAAGAGTGTTCTTAAAAGATTATGTGAACTATGTTAGATGAAGAGAAGCTGTAGATTATCTTCCTAGGGAGTAAATTAATTTTATGCAGGCATGAAATTTTTTAATGTGTAAGTAAAAGAAGCGATAAGTGTGTGTTGAATAACTGACCATATGAAATATAGAATCCATATTGTGGATTACTTCTTATTAATAATATTTGTTTACTGCTTCCTCATCAGATAGCAGCCATGTAGTTTGGAAGATAACGGCTTCAGGTCCAGGAACATGTGTTGCTTAGGGTAAGCCCATTAGAAGAGTTGTATTTCCCTAGAGAATTATCGTTCCAGGAACTTAGGTTTATATAAATTATCTTATAATGATACATAGATATCTTATCTTGGTTCAGATATGGGCATATGACTTTGGTTGACACGATTATACCATAGGATAGTGATTTTCTTTCATATCTGTAGGAATGATAAACTCTGTCTCGTACCAGATATGAAGGCAGCAGTGATGCTATAGCTGTAGACATGTCCACATTCCAAGCAGGAAGAAGGAGCAGGACAAACAGTAGAATGATACACAGGCCAGCTGGGTCATCCTCCAATAAAGAACCTTCCCAGAAACCATACCCAGTGAATTGTTTATATCTTAGTGGCCAAAACTGTGTCAAATGTCTACTTTTAGCTGCAAAGGAAGCCGAGAAAATATTTTCACCTGGCACACGGCTCCCCCAAATAAAGTGCAGCTTCATTAGTAAATAAAACAGTGAGAATTGATATTAGGTAGCCTACTAACAGTTTCTAACATATAGTCCTTGACCTCAAAGTGTTCATAGTCTATTCTGGAAATGTACATATAAAAATACTTAAAATATATTTTAAATTCTACTTCTACCAACAAGGTATTGCCAAGGAGAGAGCAATCTTCACATGATAAACATTTACCTGTAAGAAAGCAATAGATTACATTTCCCTATGTAGAAATTCAAGGCAGTTTCTAGCTTCAAGGCACAACAACTCCAATACTGTAGAAAAGAAAAAGAAAGAAAGAAATTAATACATTTTGAAAACCAACAATGGGCATTATCTGTGGACTGATTCCCTGATGCATTGTTTGAGAGAAAATAGCAAAACAAAACCAAGGTAGAAAGCCAAGGCAACATTTGAGGCTTTTCTCAGAGCACTCTTTGCTACTTCACTAGGAAGATAGAGAAATGTGGTGCCTGACAGCCTCAGTCGCTGAACCCTCTTGGGGCTATAATGCACACAGTATTAGCAAGTCCCGTAGCCAACTCATGGGAAAAACAAACAAACAAACAAACAGCGGTCTCAGGTACTAAGAGAAGGCAACCAGCCTCCCACAGCTACAGAAGGCTCCAACACACCATCTTCCGCAGAGTTTGTGCAGCCCACATGAAGCACAGAATTTTCATGTGGTAGAGAATAAGTACATATCACCAAATAGCTAACATTGAATACTGCTTGATAGTAAGTGAAAGTAGCAGTCTAGGAAACACAAATAATAGAGCCAACTGAAAAATATTACTGAATAGTGAAATGACACATACCTAAAATAAAAAGCAATTATTCTAAAATTTTCAAAATTTTTGAAATAAAATATGCCTATTCAAATAACAAATATTAATATAATATCCAAATAACAGAATGGATATTGATAAGGAGCTAAGAAAATCTTCCTGTACAAAATAAAAAAAAAGTGAAGAGATGTAAAATATGAAATACAAATGAAGAGACATGGAGGATATATTAAGACTTTCCAACATACATCTAAAAGTAGATCCAAAATTAGTGAATTAAAAGAATAAAAGGGAAAAGAAAATAAAGAAGAGTCCCTGAGACTTTCTCCAAAACTTAGTAGAACTGTTATTTTGAAATAGTTCACTAAGAATCGAACAGATCATTTTTTCACACTTATTTATATTCAACAAAATGAGAATAAGGCTGGCTTCAAATTTCTAGAAAAACAGAAAGTTACTTTAAATCAGGAATGATTTTCCATCTTTATCACCATGCAAGGACCAAGGTTTTCTAGTCACGCAAGAACTCAGAAAGTTCACCTGTTAAACACATTAATAGAAAATGTATTTCAGCAAAAAAAAAAAAAAAAAAAAGAAAAGTGGATTCAGAATAAAATGGGTGTTTCAAGAGGCAGTAAAGAGCACACATATCAGTTAGACGAGATCTGGTGTGTTCAGGGTGGTTTGGCTGTAGACAACACATATATCAATTAAACATAATGTTAGATATAAATAAATATTGATACTATTAAATAATTACTTTAACAGCAATTTGGAATATTATTCCAGATTATAACAACATGGATACTGATCAGAGAGTGATTAGGAGTAAAAAATCCAAGCAAAATACAAATGTATAAATGTCTTTGTCTTCAGTGGAGTGTGTGCAGGGGTGGAGAATATTTTCACAGGCAAAGGGATAGGCAAAGATTTCTTAGAACATTAAAACCATATGCATCATAGAAATATGATAAATTCACTTTATTGACATTAAATACAGCTGTTCTTTAAAAGACAGTGTTGTGAAAATAAAAAGTCAATTAATAGAAACTACCTGCAAACATAGTGTCAAAGAACTATCTAGAATATGTAAAAAATACTTACAAGTCAACAATAAGAATAACAAATAAGCAATTGAAGATGAGTCAAATGTTTTCATGAGCATCTCACAAAAGAAGATTTTGACTGGCTGAAAACCAAATGCAAAGGATCTCTCTATCAATATTCATCAAAAAACAAGATACAAACTGAAGGAACAAGCAATTGAAAGCACAGTGAGATACTGCTATTCATGCCCTGTTCATGCCCTGTTGAGGGGTTAAAATTTAGTAGCTTGACAATAGCAAATAATGGCAGAGATGTGAAACTCTGGGACATTACTGGTTCTAATGCAAAACTGTACAATCTGGAAATTACTTGGCTAAAATTAGAATTCAAAAATACATATATATATATTTGTAGCTATTGTAAAATGTGTTGAGTTATTGATTTGATTCTCAGCTTGCTTGCTGTTGGTGTATCGCAGAGCTACTGATTTGTGTACACTAAATTTTGTACCCTGAAACTTTTCTGAATTCATTTATCAATTCTAGGAGCTTTTTGGAGGAGTCTTTAGGGTTTTCTAGGTAAACAATAATATCATCAGCAAACAGCGACAATTTAACTTCCTCTTTAGCAGTTTGGATTCCCTTTATTTCTTCCCCTTGTTTAATTGCTCTGGCTAGGACTTCTGGTACTATATTGAACAAAAGTGGTAAGAATGAGCATGCTTTTCTTGTTCCAGTTCTTAGAGAAAATTCTTTCAACATTTCCCCATTCAGTATTATGCCGGCTGTGGGTTTGTCATAGATGGTTTTTTTATTACATTTAGGTATGTCCCTTGTATGCCAAATTTGCTGAGGGTTTTAATCATAAAGAGATGCTAGATTTTGTCAAATGTTTTTTCTGCGTCTATTGAGATGATCATGTGATCTTCATTTTTAATTATTTTTATGTGGTATATCACATTTATTGACTTGCATATGTGAAACCATCCCTGCATCCCTGGTATGAAACTCACCTGATTATGGTGGATTATCTTTTCAATATGTTGTTGGTAAGCTAGCATTTTGTTAAGGATTTTTGTATCTATGTTCATCAGGGATATTGGTATTTAGTTTTCTTTTTTTGTTGTGTCCTTTTTTTCTAAGATAGGGAGTAAGACAAAAATGTCCACTCTCACCAGTCTCATTCAATATCATGCTGAAAAATTAACTCAGTTCAATATAACAAGAAAAAGAAATAAAGTATACACAGAGTGGAAAGGAATAAACAAAGATCCCCATTTGCAGGAGATATGATTGCACAGAAAATATCAAGGAATCTATACAAATAATTACATAACTAATGAAAGAGTTGGGCAAGGCCATCAGATACAAGGCCAACAAGCAAAAACACATTTTTTTCTATATAGTACTAATAATTAATTGGACATATTTTTAAAATAACATTTACATTCACTCAAAAATCAAAAGGCATAGCTACAAATCTAATAAAACGTGTACAGAATCTATGTACTGAAAACCACAAAACACTCATAAAAGAAATCAAAGAAGATCTAAATAAATTGAGAGACATACAGTGTTAATGAATTGGAAAACTCAGTAAGTAAAAATGTCAATTTTTTATTTATTCACAAAAAGATCTAATACAATTTTTATCAAAATTCCAGCAAAATATTTTTTAGATATAAACAGGTTTACTTTAATGCTTACATGGCAAGGTAAAGGAACTAGAATAGCAAAAAAATTTTGTAAAAGGATAAAGATGAAGGGGTTATTTCTCAATCTGATTTCAAAATTCTTATTATAGAGCTATAGTAATCATACTGTGTGGTATTGGTAGAGAGATAGACATACAAATCAGTCGAACAGAATACAGAGCCCAGATAATGACCCCATACAAATACAGACAACTGTTGTTGATAAATGTGCAAAGGGATTCAATGGAACAAAGATATCTTTTCAACAAATAATGCTGGAACAATTTGATATCCATAGAAAACAAAAACAAAAACAAAAACAAAACAAAACAAAAACCTTGTACTGAATCTCATGCCTTACCTAAAAAAAACTATCTCAAAATGGATTGTTAATTTAACAGTAAAATATAAAGCTGAAAAACTTTTAAAATATGCCATAGGAAAATATCTTTGAGACTTAGGACTTGCTAAAGAGTTCCTGAATACCTTTGAGATCTTGGGCTAGCAAAATAATGATCTATAAAAGAAAATAAATAAATAAATTGGTCATTAAGATTAAAATATTTTTCTCCATGAAAGACATGCTCTGTTAAGAGGGTGAAAATACAAGCAACAATGGGAGAAATCAAGTACGGAAACTCAACAGATAGAGAATAAATAACTAACTTTCAAAAATAGACAAATGACAGTTACTTCATCAAAGAAAACATAGATGACAAGTAATCACATGAAAAGTTTTGTATTATTTGCTGTTTGTAAAATGCAAATTGAAACCATGATGGGGTAGCACTATACACATAGTAAAACGGCTAAAACTTTTGTAAAGAAAATACTAAAACAAAATTGGTAACAATAAAGAACAGAAACTGTGATTCATTTCTGGTGGAAATGCCAAATGGTACAGTTAGAAAAATAGTGTAGCCTGTTGGTGGGACTGTAAACTAGTTCAACCATTGTGGAAAACAGTATGGCGATTCCTCAAGGACCTAGAACTAGAAATACCATTTTACCCAGCCATCCCATTACTAGGTATATACCCAAAGGATTATAAGACATGCTGCTAATAAAGACACATGCACACGTATGTTTATTGAGGCACTATTCACAATAGCAAAGACTTGGAATCAACCCAAATGTCCATCAGTGACAGACTGGATTAAGAAAATGTGACACATATGAACTATGGAATACTATGCAGTCATAAAAAAGGATGAGTTCGTGTCCTTTGTAGGGACATGGATGCAGCTGGAAACCATCATTCTAAGCAAACTATCGCAAGAATAGAAAACCAAATACAGCATGTTCTCATTCATAGGTGGGAACTGAACAATGAGATCACTTGGACACAGGAAGGGGAACCTCACACACTGGGTCCTATTGTGGGGAGCGGGGAGGGGAGAGGGATAGCATTAGGAGATATACCTAATGTAAATGACGAGTTAATGGGCGCAGCACATCAACATGACACATGTATACATATGTAACAAACCTGCATGTCGTGCACATGTACCCTAGAACTTAAAGTATAATTTAAAAAAAAATAGTGTAGCAAGTCCTTGTAAAGTTAAATCTACGCTTACCTTGTGACTCAATAGTCGCACTACAAAGTATTTACCCTAAAGTAAGGAAAACTATGTCCTCACCAAAAACTGTACATGAATATTTATAGCAGCACTATTCATAATCTTCCAAACTGTAAATGACCTAAATGTCTTTTAGGAAGTGATTGGATAAACAAACTGTTGCA